GGGGGTGGGGGCGGGGAGCTACAGGAGGGAGGGGCAGCAGGCAGAGAGCTACAGGAGGGCAGCAGCGAGCTACTGGCGCACGGATTCGTGTGCAGGGTTACTAGTATATATATAAAAGCCTAAGTGACCGTTTGACCATTCAACCAGTAGCTGTGATGCGCACTGACCACCAGGGGGCATACGCTCCAACTGGTAGGTTTGCTTGTGGCTGGGATCTGGCCTATTGGGCCTGGGTGAGATGGGCCAGACACACCCTGGAGCCCTCCCGTGGTCCCTCCCCAGCCCCGATTGTGCACTGGTGGGGTCCCTCAGCCTGCCCTGTGCCCTCTCACAATCCAGGACCCCTCAGGGGATGTCGGAGAGCTGGTTTCGGCCCGATCCCTGCAGGCCAGGCCGAGGAACCCCACGAATCTGTGCACCGGACCTCTAGTGTTACTTATAAAACAACAAAAAGCCTTCCTAACTCAGATTCTCCAAGAAATCCTCAGTAGATGGCAGTGTTGAGCTTTTTTTTTTTTTTTTTTTTTTTTTTGTGGTGATGGTGGTGGGGGCGTTTTGTTTAGAACTGCAGGCTTCTGTTTAGCTTTAGATTGTGGGTTTCACAAAATGCAGTTCATTTTACTCAGTCTTTGTGGCTCAGGGCCTTACCAAAAACCCTAAGTGCCCTCGCAAGCTAATAAAACAAATACATCTTTAGTATTCTAGTTAAAGTTTTTTAATTGTCAAAGTTATGCTTGTAAAAATTTAAAATATGTGGAAGTGTAGAAAGTAAAAGTGATTGTAAGTTTTCCAGCTGTTTTACTATGCATATAAAATAGACATATAACATATAAATGGGGTCATATAATTCAGTTTATTCTGCAGCTTCTCTGTGCCTCTTTCCATCGTGCTCATTCCTCCACATGAACAGCTGTGGTCTCCATCCTTCCCAACTTTCACAATTTATAATGTCTACATTCTGCTCCAGAACTATAATCAAGTCATCTAGGTGAACTTCTGAATACTTAAACCTAATAAAAATAGCATTTCCCATATCATGGTTGAGTAAATACCAATCACTGTAGAACAAAACGTGGTCAGATCTATCTATAATAATAAAAGCATAATATGCTAACTAGACCGGACGTCCTTCTGAATGAAGCCTCAGGGGCAGAGGCAGAGGCAGCCACTGCCGCCGCAGGGGCCAAGCCCCTTGCAGGAATTTCGTGCATCAGGCCTCTAGTAGAGAAATAAAGTTAATTCCATGTGCTTAACCCCTACCCCACAATTGTCAAGGTTCAAAGCTGTCTTTTAATTTCATTTTTATTTTCCTCACTTTCCCAGCAATCACAACTTTTCATTAGTTTGTTTTAACCTCATGTTCCTTGAAATCTCATTCTTAGATTCCTTTTGCTTTGCTCAAGTACATGTGTGAATTTGAGTGCATTGCTTTCTCTGCACAGCTGAAAATATCCCTCCCCCCACCCTTACTGATTGATGGTTTGGCCGGGAATATAATTTAGGCTCAAATTCCTATTCCAGAGTAGATGGTTGGGATTTTAAAGACATAGTTTAAAAGTATTTCTGCTGGGAAGTCATTTCAGTCACATTCTCATTCCTTTGTAGCTGACCTATTTTTTTTTTCTTTTTAAGACTCTCGTTGTTCCTGGGGTTTTGAAATTTCTACAGGTGTCTAGGTATGGATCTTACTGTTATTTATCCTGCCTGGTACCTGGTGGGCTTATCTGAAGATTTGTGTTTTCTCCTAGCTCAGAAAGTGTTTCTATTATGTGTGATCCGGGAAACGAGTTTAAGTCGGCTCGCGTGAATTGCGCGTACTCCGCGGGAGCCGTCTTTAACTCGGTTCATATAGATTTGCGACTTTAATTTTTCACTGCTTTGTGCTTTTCCTGTGTTGTAGGAGATTTCATTGACTTACAGATAACTGGTATGGTTTTTAGTCTTGGCTATTCTATA